CTCTCTTGCACATTTTCATTGACATAGCAACCTTGTGAGCCTAGCCAAAGTTCTCCCACTCATTTCCATCATAGATTAAACATCTTTGTGAGATTGGGAGAGAATCCAAGTGCATTGCTTGAGTGATTGCATCTAGAGGCACTTGGTGATTGTGTTTCATTTGCGGATTTCGCTTGTTACTCTTGGTGGTTGCCGCCACCTAGACGGCTTGGAGCAAGCAAGGATCGTTGAGTGGAGGAGGTGATTGTCTCCGACTCCGATCGTGGTGATTGTGAGGGTTCTTGACCTTTCTCAGCGCCAAAAGGTACTCTAGTAAATTGCTTGTGGCTTGTGTGATCCTCATCTTGTGTTGGTTGTGCGGCACCCTATTGAGGGTTTGGCGAGTGATGCCAATCAGTAGCAAGTGAACCTCCAAGTGAGTGAATCGCCACAACGAGGACTAGCTTGCCAAGAAGCAAGTGAACCTCGGTAAAAATCATTGTGTTCATCATTTGATTCCGAGGTGATTGGTCTACATTGGTATTCATCTTCGTGATTGATTGGTTCATTCATCTACACGTGGTATAACCCTCTTGGATCACTCTCTTTACTTTACCGCAAACTAGTTGACAAGCTCTTTAGTGTAGCTAGTTGTGAGAGCTTGCATGCTTGGTTGGTGTGGCTCTTTAGTTAGCCTTTGAGAGCACACTAACATAGGGTAGTGTCATTGCTCTTGTGTGAATTGACACTATCTAAACTAGAATTGTGGTAGGTGGCTTGCATTTTTAAGTAGGCTAGCGCAACACTCGCTTCGCCTCATAATTGTCTAACCATTTGGTTAAGTGTTGTTGTAGAATTTTATTAGGCTATTCACCCCCCCTCTAGCCATTAGGACCTTTCAACAACGCCCTGAGTACGAGAAGGTACTCAGCTAGACTTACCCGTCTTAAACCAAAATAAAGCGACACCAAGGATTATGCAAGGCTTTCTTTAGTGGGCTAACTGACTTGTTTGCGAAAAGCATAAGTTATCATGAAGACATTATTTTAAACACTTTGTATCATCTTTATTATAACCTATTCATCTAGGTAAGCACCTGTACTATAGCAATCACTTGATTAACCAATAACATCCAGTTACCAATTTAGCTTTAGCATATCCCATACCATCCAGATAACCATCATTGTTCCATAATAATTACTACGATGCCGTAGCTCGAGTCAAGTGCTCACTATCCAGGAGCGATGGCGATTCGAATCGATTCCTAACCAGCTGGTGATTTATTCCTCACACAAACCATGCTTCCCCCGTCAGGGTCGCTTAGATCACCAATGACACTTTCTAAGTAGCCGCGGGATAACAATCATGGACCGCACTACCCAGGGACCGCCCGACTGCCAGGACGCATCTTTGGCTCACTCTTCGCGTCCCCGTTATACCCTCTTCCGCACCGGTCTGTGCATCCGAGTTTATCCCGGCTCGAAAAGGTGTCACTAGCTTCGCGGTCGAAAGGTACTTTATTCGGCCAGCTAAATGTGAGGCATGCGTTCAGCATGACAAGAGGGACGAGCAACGATCGGTCCTTAATCGACGCAAATGGAAAACTAACTATACCCCAGAACCTGGTCTGGCTGCCTCCAATTTTTTCCGTCCGGTCTCCAATTATTCATCACACATGGTTAATTCCAGGATATCATTCTTTTCATAGCTAATTTCTTCCAGTAACCACCTATAAAGTAGGTGACCGGAAATCACCGATCGCTACCGGTCTAAGCAGGGCTAAGCAGTTATTCGATCCTGACTTAACAGGATAAAAGGTAATAAGGTAGGCAAAGATAGTAATAAATGCATCAACGGTTTCAATCCACTCCTACAACTTAATACAACAATATATAACTCATATAGATAGAAAGAATTGCTTTTGTAAAGTAGGAGACTTAGAATGCTCCGGGGCTTGCCTCGTTCGAACGAACTAGGATGATGATCCACGCACTCAGACAAGTCCTCTTCTTGCTTCTCTTCCTCTGGCACCTCCTGTGCCTGGACTTCTTGTGGATCTGTCCCGGTCTGCTCTTCCTGAACTGCTACTAGCAACTCCTCCTGCGATCCTGTATGATGCAGATGTATAAGTGCTAATGCATAGGTGCATCGGAGAGATGACATGTAATGATCATGATGCATGAAGTGTAGATGAACATGTTTAACTTTATTGGACATAGTAGTAGCAAAGCTCTTCTACAAGGTAGTAAACATCATCCAAGAACATGTACTACTATCTACTACGACAACCACTGTACTAACATGCCAAATCACCACAGCAAACTAAGATGCTTCAAAGATACACCAAAGCGAACATTATTAACTAAACTCGTATTAAGGAAGATCATTTGATTTCATTTTAAACTAGGGCTACACAGCAACATATATTTCTGGTGCTCATAAAAATCTAAGAAAATTACAGTAGCATAGTACTACTCTAAGTAGACTACCATAAAATTTTCATTGCATTTGGATAAGTAAATAGCCTACACAAAAATGACAAGACATAAGTGCTTAAAAAGGCATAAATAGAAAACCTTAGTTAAAAGTGTCAAGCAACAGATTTCATATTTTTCCTAACATCCTTAAGGTATTGGGATACTCCCCACAAAATTTCATGATCATAGGATTCCTAAATAATTTACAAAAATTTACACAAGTATCAATCAATGATAAAAGGAAAATCTATAACTCAAAAACCATACATTCAATGACTCTCAAATTTTTACCAGAGCTTCTACTAAGCAAGACTAGCTTACCCACAGAATTTCATAATTTTTAGACCACAGAAACTCAAGATATGATTTAAACAAGTTTGCATGCATCTAAAAACACCTTTCAAGTTCCTATTTAATTCATCCAAAATTTCCACTACAAGTGTTCATGTCATATTTTTCCTAAATACTAGACTTCACTATGATCCTAACAAAATTGGAACCACCTAATTTGGATCTACAAAACGGGAGATACAAATTTTACAAAACAACATCCAAATCTGAAAAATCACTTTTAAAACAAAATCGAACCCTAACGGCTATGTGCACCCGGTGTTGCACACAGATCCGAAACAAAAAGCTAGGTGCACCCGGTGCTGTGCACCTAGACCTACTCGCACAGTCAACACTAACACATGGGACCCAGCGGTCAACCGGCCCCACGAGCCAGCAAGACAGAGCAGGGGCGCGCCGTTGACCGGCAAGAACCCGCCGACGGCGAGATCTCCGGTGACCGGACCGGTACCCCCAAACTCCACTCGACGACGCGCATGCAGTGGTGAGGGTTGCGCAGCCAGAGGACCTCCGGTTGAGGCTCGTCGGCGGCCATGGCGCACGGTGGCGACGACGACGCTGGAGAAACACCCGATTGGACCTCACCTTCCGACGATTCGCGTGGCGCGCGGGTCGGTAGCGTGGTGCGTGAGGTGGCGGTGCTCGTGGCGTGAGAAAGCGGCGAGTGGTGTGGTGGCTGCGGCGGAACACGACGGCGAATGGCGCGGCGGTGCTGGAGCTGAGCCGCTACCGCTGCTGCTGCTCAAGCGAGTGAGGGGCGAGAGAGAGAGAGCAGAGAGCAAAATGAGAGAGTGGGAGGGAGCGGGCGCGCTGCCGTTCCCAAAATGGGGACACGCCCTGGTTGGCCATCGCCGGCGCATGGTCGCCACGCGGCGTCGGAGCCCTAGCGCGGTCGGCCACGGCGTGTCACGGTGCCAACAGCCTGTCGGCAGGTGGGCAGCTGACGGTGCCTGCCCTCCATTTTTTTTAAATCAAAATTTGCCAGCTTTTTGCCCTATAGTTCTAAATCTAGACCGAACTAGACAAAACCCATATTGAACGAAATGTAGAGTATGAAATTCTTAACATTTCCTTCAAAAGGGTCAATATCTAAGTCTGCATAGATTTTGAATTATAGATCAAGAAGCAAAACTGGTTTTGAAATGACTTAGGGATTTTCAGAAATTGAAAAACAGCTTTGAAATCTGCCTTGTGGGTCCTTTTTGAACATGTTGGGCACATTTTCAAGACTTGGCTTCTAAACAAAGTTTGTTCCTTATAAAATTTTCTATAACTTTATTTTAGGTTGCCCAGACATGCAAACACTCTAAGCTACACTTTTTAAACAGTCAAACAAAAAGTTTTAGGGGTCAAAATTGGTCAAACCATGACTTGAAAACTTAATTAGGCAAAATGATCAACATGAACATTGTTTCTAATGACCTTCTAAGTATAGCTAAGTTGTTTAAAAATATATTTAGCCATACCACACATTGGTCACACAAGAATGAAGCACGGAATGTACTGAAACAATGAAAAACAATTGAAATGTTACTTTTGTTTCATAGTCATGTTTCACATGTTTCATGATCTTGTTGCATCGTACTAACTAGCTATGTTCCACTAAATTGAGTTACACATGCTGTACTTGGGTGCTGCACACTATTCATTTCATAAAAACAACACTCATGAAATATACAGTATGCTGCAATGTTTCGATAACATGTTTCATGTGATATAAGCTAATGAATGGATGAATGATGCCCATGTTCATGAAATACAAGTGCAATTATGCAACAGCGACATCGCCGCAGTCGTCTCCGCGGACCCGCTGCTCCTCCGCGCTTCCGTGAAGAACCTCGCTCCCCGCCTTCTGGCTATACGCGACCGCGTCGGCCTGTCTACTTCCCAGATCACTCGCTTCCTCCTGGTCGCCTCACGCGCTCTCCGCGAGTGCGATGTCACTCCTAGGCTCGAGTTCTTCATCTCCTTTTGTGGCTCGTTTGATCGGGGTCCTGGTGGCCGCAAAGAGGAGCTAGGGCCTCCTCTCGGCGAGCCTTGAGAAGGTAATCAATCCCAACATAGCTCTGTTTCGTCAGCGTGGTGTTCCATATGTTGCTAAGGTGTGTCTAAAGGACCTTTGGGTGTTTACCTTCAACCCGGAACACGGTTTTGCTACGGGCAGAAGAACTTGGGGTGCCTCCCACTTCGCGGATGTTTAGGCAAGTAGTGGCAATCGTCGGCAGTTTTTCCCGTGAGAAGGTTGCTGTCAAGTTTGAGTTCTTTAGGAGGACTCTTGTTTTTTGTGAGTCTGAGGTTTCCATTGCAGTGTCCAAGACGCCACAAATACTAGGATTATCTGATGCAACTCTTCTTCGCAAGATCGAGTTTCTGGTCAATGAGGCTGCGATGGAGCCACAGTATATTGTGCAAAGGCCTATCCTGCTCATATTAAGCTTGGAGAAGCGGCTAGTGCCCCGGCATCATGTCATGAAAATGCTGCAGGAAAAGGGTTTGCTGAATAGCAATATGAACCTTTTCTCGTTAGCTCTTCTTGGAGAGGAGGCTTTCAAATCGAAGTTCATCGACTGTCACAAGGACTTTGTTCCTGGCCTTGCAGATGCTTATGCTGCAGCTAGTGCTAGTATTGTGCCCTCTAGAGTGTAATGTAAGCATCTCACTCTGTGGTTTAGGTGGATGGTGGAACTGCGACTCCTGCTCATGAGCGGCTGTCTACTGTGCAGATTTCCACAATTCTGATTTCTACAATATAACAACTAGTGATTTTTTTTTCGAACGTACCACAGGCACGGATTTCATTAAGTAGAAGCAGAGTTTTTTTTGTTACAAAAAGGACTGGCCGATAATCCTAGAATTACCAACGCAATCCCACAAGCATATAACCACTAGTGATCACTGATTGGTCATAGTCCAAGGTTAATTTATGATTATTAAGGAAGGAGTTGTGTTTGGCATTCTGGATCCTTAATGCACATTTTGTTGGTTTCATCTTCTTCCTAGCACATGGCTGAAGATTATCCTTAAGTTACTGTTTCTTCTGTGGATATGTTTGTATTTGAGAACTTAGGCTATTTATAATCTGACAGTATCTTAGCGTGTTTTATTCCGAATGATGTTTTACATATGTCTCACTAGCCGAATGTTTTTTTTTTTTTATCTACCGGTGCCTACATTGTACTTGACTGAGGCTGAACTAGTACTTTCTTGGTAGTGACCTAAAGTGCTATTGAGAAGAAGCTATTTGAAGCAATTTTGTAAAACCGGTGTTGTAATGGCCAACAAAGTATTGTAAGAAATGTCTGGGCCTTTTGGGTGCCATGGACCTCTGCCATGTGCAAAAGATAGTTGTCTGTTTGGTTTGTAACTTGAGAGCTGAAAATAAATGGGAAGACGTTGTAAGGGAGACTTCTTCATATGAGAGGATACTAATTTGTTGTTCTTTCATATTTTTTCCACAGAACATATAGAAAGAGGATGTAACCTTTTATAGGTAGCCAATTGTTCTCAAATTAAGTCTCAATTGTTCTCGAATCAAGTCTCAAAATCATTTATTACCATTTTTTAGGTTTGTGCTTTTAAGGAGTTTCTCTCTAAACATTTCTACTTTTATGGCATGTGCATGATAGATAGCAGGCATGATACTCGGTTATAAGATTCTCCTTTATATATGCCATACTATGCATTCTGGATTAACAGCAGCTCGCAACTGTCTGTAGGAGGGGAATTACCGCATGATCCTACAGTTAATGGATGTCTCTGCACCAAATAAATGGAAATTTGTCCTTAAGATTTTGAAATAAAAAAAACATATAATAATATCCTTGTGGTATTATTCCGATCAAAATTAAACACAGTCTGACCTTAGTAAATTACTTATGATGATGAGTAACACTACCTTCCAGACATCAGTTTTCAACATTCTCGACAGCCCATGCTTGTAGACAGAAAATGCCCATGCTTGACATGAAGATGCCCATGTTTACAGACATGAAAAATGAGTTATTGTACTTGTTCACATTGTTAATCCTCATGATCCTCCCAGGAATCTTAGCCCCATTCAGATTATGTGCAGCACTTGACAATTGGCCAAACAAAAAAAATTAGGACTTGATAGCATACTATCAATCAAAACTGCATAAAAAAACAAACAAATAAGAATAAGAAAAAAGATTCCTCACTCTCCCGGAAAACAAGCACGAAACATTTTACTTTTATCTGGCATCATACCTCTTGTAGTTCTGAAATTAAAATTCTTCCTGTAACACTATATTTGAATCTTATAAGATAATCTATTTAATCTCCAAACGGACTCTAAAAATTTAGAAACAAATTATCTAAGTTCTTGGTTCATAAAGTATATGTTGTCATGTCATTTATCAACACAAGTGTTGGGTCATCAACTATGGGTCTATGGTGAAAAAATTGATTTAAAAGTTGAGAGCGGTAAAAAAAACAGTTTTATAGATGAGGAAGATAAATGGGACGACCGTGAAAAAAATTGAGGGGTGAAAAAGAGTTATTTTTCCTGATCTGATTCATGGGGAGATGGGCTAAATGAATTACTCGTGGCACTTGGCCAATGGACTAGCCCACAGGCTACAGCCCATACAAATGATGAATCCATCATCTCCTTCCTCCTCCATCAGAAGGACTAGGAGCCTGAGCTTTCCGGGTCGGCCGCCGCGGATGCGCGCCCAACTGGGCAGCGTCCCTCGAGCGAGCCGTCGCATCGCAGCCTCCTCGCCGCCGCCTCCCCTCCGCCGCCGACATGCTGCAACTCCGAAATCGCCTCCTCCCTCTGCTCCGCGCCGCCTCCACGCGACACTCCCCAATCCACCCCCGCGCGTCGCGCCTCCTCTCCACCTCCACCACCCTCCCCACGCCCTTCTCCCTCGAGGACTACCTCGTCGCTGCCTGCGACCTCGCCCCAGCCCAAGCCCGCGAGGTGTCCAAGAAGTTGTCCCGCGAGTTATTATCCATTGTATCCAGGAGACCATTGGATGAGCTCTCCTACTCCCGTCTCAACTCTGCCTCCAACCCTGATGCTATCCTCGCCTTGCTCTCCGGCGCCGGCCTCTCCCGCGCTGACATCGCTGCCGTCGTCTCCGCGGACCCGCTGCTCCTCCGTGCTTCCGTGAAGAACATCGCCCCCCACCTTCTTGCTCTCCGCGACCGCGTCGGTCTGTCCGTTCCCCAGATCACTCGCTTCCTCATGGTCAGCTCACGCGCTCTTCGCAAGGGTGACGTCTGTTCCAGGCTCGAGTTCTTCATCTCCTTCTATGGCTCGTTGGAACAGGTCCTGGTGGCCGCAAAGAGGAACAGGGCCCTCCTCACGGCGAGCCTGGAGAGGTTAATAAAGCCTAACGTAGCTTTGCTTCGTCAGTGGGGTGTTCGAGATATTACCAAGCTGACTTCAATCAGCCCGTGGTTGCTTGCGTTCAGCCTGGAACACGTGAAGGAGGTTCTGCTACGGGCGGAAGAACTTAGGGTGCCACCCACTTCGCGGATGTTCAGGCATGTGGTGGCGGTCCTCGCTAGGAATTCCAAAGAGGAGGTCGCTGCCAAGCTTGAGTTCTTTAAGAGGACTCTTGGTTGTTCTGAGTTAGAGCTTTCCACTGCAGTGTCCAAGAAGCCAGCTATATTAGGATTATCTGACGAGATTCTTCTTTGCAAGATTGAGTTCCTTTGTCAATGAGGCTGCAATGGAGCCACGATACATTGTGGAAAGGCCTGTCCTGCTCACATACAGCCTGGAGAAGAGGCTAGTGCCACGGCATTATGTCATGAAGGTCCTGCAGGAAAAGGGATTGGTGAGTACCAATATGAACCTTTTCACATTTACTCAATTTGGAGAGGAAACTTTCAAATTGAGATTCATCGACTGTCACAAGGACTCTGTTCCTGGCCTTGCAGATGCTTATGCTACAGCTCGTGCTGGTATTGTGCCCTCTAGAGTATAATTTTTGCATCTCCTTTTGTGTTTTAGGCGGATGGTGGACTGTTCATGCTCATTGCCTCATTGGAAGATGTCCACTGTGCAGGCCTTCTCAATTTTGTTTTCTGCAATAGAATCACCGGTGATCTTTGACTGCTCATAGTCCAAATTTAAGTTACGGTTATTTATGGAGGAGCTGGGTTTGAATTCTTCTAGAGATTTAATCCGCGGGTTTGTTAGTTTCTTGTTCTGCCTAGCACATGGCTGAAGGTTATCCTTAAGTTACTGTTTCTTCTGTAGATAAGTCTGTATTTGAGAATTTATTATGCTATTTATAATCTGACAGTATCCACTTTTCCTTGTATCTAATCATTTTTTTGTTAGCATGCTTTATTCCAACTGATGTTTTACATAGGTCTCACACTCTCACTAGCTGAATGGATTTTTTTTTTCTACCGGTGCCTACATTGTACTTGAGTGAGGCTGAAGTAGTGGTTTCCTGGTATTGACCTAAAGTGCTACTTAGAAGAAACTCTTTGAAACAATTTTGTAAAGCCGGTGTTGTAAGGGCCAACAAAGTATTGTAAGAAGTGTTTTGGCCTTTTGGGTGCCATGGACCTCTGCCCATGTGCAAAAGAAATGTTTTCAGCTCTCTGTTACTTGAGGGTGACGACTTCATACGAGAGGATACTAATTTGTTTGTTCTTTCATATTGTTCTTAAATCTAAGTCTCAAAATCGTTTATTACCATTTTTTAGGTTTGTGCTTTTAAGGAGTCTCTCTCTAAACATTTCTAGTTTTATGGCATGTATATGATAGATAGCAGGAATGATGCTTGTTTATAAGGTTCTCCTTCATATATGTCATACTATGCATTCTGGGTTACCCACAGTGAATGGATGTTTCTGCACTAAATAAGTAAAATTTCTGTCCTTGAAATTTTGAAATAAGAAACACATAATAACATCTTTGCAGTATTGTTCCAATCAAAATTAAACACAGTCGACCTAAGTAAATTATCTGATGATCAGTAACCCAACCTTCCAGACATCAGTTTTCCGACATTCTCAACAGCCCATGCTTGACATGAAGATGCCAGACATCAGTTTTCAGACATTCTCAACGGCCCATGCTTGACATGAAGATGCCCATGTTTAGGGTCCTCACTCTCCAGCTGCTGAAACCATCTGGCAATTTCTCATTTGTTTGGAAAGAGATTTAAGTTCAGGGAGGAATGAATCTTTCCCGCTTGTTCATTCGTTCGGTATACAAAATTCAAGGAAAACACTAGGAGACAGGAAGGGATGAGAATCGATCGATCATCAACCGCTTATGCCCACGCTCGCTTCTTTGGGATAAGATCGAGCGTCTTGACTTTATCTATCCTGGCGGCGACGATGTAGTCGTTGACGGTGAGGCTGTCGCCCGCGGCAGAGGGCGTGGAGAGCTCGGCTGTCACCTGGTTGGGGGCCTCGAACACCAGGGCCGCCGGGGCGTGGTCGGCGCCGTCGAGCGCGGCGTTGATCCTGGCGATGAGCTCCTGGCCGCAGTGCTCGTCGCGCACCTTCCAGACGCACTGCAGCCGCACGGGCCGCTGCTCGTCGCCTTCGCCGTCGGAGAGGACCAGCCTCCAGCCGACGACCTTGAAGAGGAGCCTGCGCGCGTCGTCGAGGGAGAGCGGCTCCGCGTTGGGCTGCAGAGGCAGGCTTGCCAGGGAGAGCGCGGAGAGGGTGGGGATGAGGATCTGGTGGAGCGTGTCCACGTTGCCCAGCACCTTCTCCCCAAACTGGCTCTCGATCTCCTCCGGAAAGGGGTCGCGCGCGCCAAGGTCGCCCAGCAGGTCGGCCATCGCCACCACGCAGCCGCGCGGCCTCCTGCTCCGGTGAGGCCGGAGGAAGCTTGCGCTGCTGCAGCGGCATGTGGCGGCCGCGGGTGCAGCTGCTGGCGAGGCGAGGGAGAGCCTGAGCGCCATTGGATTTTGTGGAAACGGACAACGGAGCGACAACAGAGCAATGGATGGCTGGCAGTGGCAGTAGCTGGGAATGGATAGTGGCGGGGGCTGCCTTCTTAAACCTCTTGTCGTCTTCTTCTAGCTTCTAGTCCCTTCTGCAATTCCAACGCCAGTACGCCACTCATTCTTGTCATCTAGTACTTCCTGCCTGGGGCTGGCTGGCTGGCTGGCTGGGCTAGCCAGCCCCCTCACATGGACACTGTTCACATGAACCAATTAGTAGTACTTTTTTTCACATGAACGAACACGAACTAGCCAACCGAACAGACTGTCTACTCACTGTGCTCTGGGCTTCTGGCTGGGAGCCGTCGAGCCATGCGTGTTTGGCTGTTCCGGTCTTGGATTGTTTGAGCTTGTTTCAGCTTATTTTCTCTTACAGAATACTATTAAATTATCCAAAATCAGTCGAGCTACAGTGGACATACGTACCAGCCGAACATTTACGAATACTAGTTCAATTCTGAATACATACACATAGTCACTTGCATATCACAGCACTGAGCTTTGAGGGCACATAAACATATTTAAGTAATAACATATTATACATTACACCAAAGTGCAGTTCAACTGCTTGACAAGCAGGTACAGTACAGACTGAATAGGCACAATTCCACAATGCTTTAGAAATCCCCACTACACATTATCCAGACGGGGACTTTGACATATACTGTATCAGAATCCAGACGTCTATTTACAAAACCATGCTGTATGTTACATGATGCTATCATATCATATTTGCACTACACCATGAGGTAGGCTCTCTTACCACGTTACAAAAGAGCTCTGATTCGGCCACAGCTGAATCAGTGGAACGATTAGAGCTCTGATGATAAACCAGAGGACATTGAGGCCCTGCTGGTGACGATGCGTAATTTATGGGCAGACTGTGGAACGATCTATTAGAGCTCTGATGATAAACCAGAGGACATTGAGGCCCTGCTGGTGAGAGCAGGCCTCATCGTCACCAAAGCAGATTCATTTGCACCAGCTCTCAAAGCAATCCGACCAGCTTCCAGGAATCTGGCGACAGCATCCTCTGCATAGGCGTTCGCTTTCCCGACAGTCATGGTCCTGCCAATATCTGGGTATGTGTTCAGTACATGATCACCGTTAAGCTGTGAGGCAAGTTGAATCAACTCCACTTGAAATTCCGAGAGAGATGAATCTTCCTTGGGACCAAATGGTCGCAGTGACTTTGTCACCTCTGGCAGCTTCTCTGTTTGGGAGAAAAAAAGAGTATCTAATTAGGACCCTAGTAAAATTGATCATTCAAGTATAGCTGTCCTCGCGAACACATCTACCCGTTGATAACTCCAGGAGCAGAACATGCTACAGTATTAGTCGACCTTCGTTTTTGTTAAAAGTTCATTGACAAAGTACCGACATGGCAGGTATAGTGCCAAAAATGTCATAATTGTCATTCCATTGGCATAACACATATACCAAACTACCATAAATACATACCTGGACAGTTAGTTCTTGGTGTTTTCCGGATTTTAAAGTAGTTCTCAAAGGTCCCAGCCCATGCGTCTCTCTTTGTCAGAAAGTTAGAGTGTAAATTGAATAGCTTCTTTACTGTTGCAGGAATGGACGAATGCTCATATTGTGAGGTTTCCTGTGGACCATTTGGTTCATGGATCACTGCAGAAATGAAAAGTAAGGTGTGAATTCTGCTGGTGAAAACATGCAGCTCAATATTGGAAGCATAATTTCCTGATGAATAGGTTCAGCAAATGTAAGTTCCTAATTTTGTTAACATTAATATAAGCATAATCAAAAGTTCAAAACACAGAGATAGCATACCAATAGCATAAAAGGCAGCTCAGTCCTTTTTCATGAGAATGGTCGTTGAAATGCTACTTATATAAGTTACATCTAACAAACTCTCCACATGGACTACTGCTTGCCAGACATATAGGATGTCTCCACCATAACACAAGTCGACGAAGTCTGAATTTTATTCACATAGTTGATAAAGTCTTTGCAGTGCTACTTCCCATACATGTATTAAACCTCGAAGCTGAAAGACTAAACTCATTGCTCACCAACAGCTACTGGTACCAGGAAAATTACAGCATCCTCTACACTGAATGTTGCTGCACTAAGTTTACAGTGAAGTTGTCCTTATAAAATGTTGATAAGAATCCAATGACATTAAAATATTTGTACTATAGCTTCAATCAAATAAAACGCAAGCTGACCTTGAAAATTAGTTCCTACCTGAAGCTAATTTAAATCAATAGTACGTATTGCCAGGCATCAAATTTTTCAAAATTCTATTGAACTTTTGTTTCTCAGTATGCCATGCTTAGGCAGGAAAATTAAGAATTCAACACAAGAAGTACTCACCAGTGCCCTTCTCGATCCAAGGTGAGATGAGAAAGGTGGGAACACGCACCCCAAGCCGTTCGAACTTGAAGTAGTATGGATCAGGCCCAACTATTCCATCAGGCTGGGGCACTCCGACGACCGGCGTAGGTACATGGTCATAGAATCCACCGTGCTCATCATATGTGATAATCAGGGCTGTCTCGTTCCACTGCGGACTGGCCCTCAGTGTCTCATACACCTCTTTCACGAACCTCTGTCCCCTTGCCACATCATGTGACGGATGGTCATCGTTTGCTGGGAACATCTCGCAATCGAAGTACCTCTGCTCAATCACCACATAATTTGGCAGCTTCCCCAACTTGGCGTGCAGCTTGAACTTGAGGCTGTACTGGTGGAACTTGACGAGGTGCTTTAGGCGGCGGAGGCTCTGGTAGAAGAGCGTGGCTGGGATGTTCTGGTAGTAGATGCCAAAAGACAAGCCGTTCTCCTCGAGGCTGTCAAAGATGGTCTTCTGCGGGAAGCCATGGATGAGGTCCTTGCGGGCGTTGAAGGTGAGGCCGTGGGAGGTCGCCGAGTGGACGAACAGGCGGTTGGGCTGCGTGGAGGTGGGCACGGAGGCGAACCAGCGGTCGAACACGGCGAACTCGTCAGCGAGGGAGGCGTAGACGGGGACGGCGTCGGGCTTGAACCCGCTCATGACGTTCTGCGGCATGCCGAGGCCCATGCCGCGCGCGTTCTGGGCGAAGCCGGACATGGGGGGCGGCACCGCGGAGGTGTCGGCGGAGCCGAAGATCTGCTCCCGGATGTCCTCGAAGCCGTGGCCGGGGTCGGAGTCGACGTAGCCGGCCTCGTCGGTGACGAAGATCTCCGGGGAGGAAGGGTCGGAGGCGTTGAGGCGGTTGGACTCGCGGCCCGTGAGGCCGTCGATGTCGGGGCGGGTGCGGCGGAGCCAGCCGAGGATGTGATCGAAGCTGCGGTTCTCCATCACCACCACCACCACCGTCTTGATCGGGGAGTGGATCTCGTGCTTTCGCCGGCGGCGCTTCAGCCCGCGGTGGTGCGCGTCCAGGCAGTGCCCAGAGACGACCAGCGCCAGCAGCAGGAGCGCCACGAGGAGGCGCGTCCCAGGGACGTGGCGGGCCGCGGCGGCCATCGCGCCGGACCCGGAGATAGGTCTTCGCCTTCGGCGGCGGCGACGGGCGGCGGGCGACGGGTAGGGTAGGTGCGCTTGCTGTTCAGTTGAATTGATGAGCTCTCTGTTTTTTTCCCCTTTTTCAATAAGCAGTTGCTTTGCTTTTGCGTGCGGGCGGCGGCGGCTATTTTTTTAATCCTTTCCGATTTTACCCCGTGGTGGTTAGCGAAAGCGGACAGGTGGGTCCCGTTAGGTGCCGTCCGTGGACCCACGCGTCATGGGGAGGGAGCTCGGTTCGCGGAGAGCACGGTGCTTCCCGCAAGGCGCGCACCAAGGCTGTCAGCGAATGTGAGACGGAGCAGTGGGACCGCTAGCATCTGGTCCCACCGATCATTGGGTTATTAGGCTGGTCGTTTTTGTTTGCCTGCAAATGATCTTTTCCTGGTGGGAAAAGCATATGCCACGTCTCGAGAAAGAAATGTGCCCACCGCTCAGGCTCAGCAGGCAGATTTTTCTTGTTTTGCTGTGGGCTACGCTAATGCGACAAGAGCCACACGCTTGCGCACTTTGAATTTTGACCGACTGCAGTCCCGTATTTTAAACGCAAATTGGCATCGATTGTGTTGATATTTATTTATCTGCTTCTGCACTGGTCATTGGAGATTGGGTTGCAGCAAGTGGTTCTGTGATTGTCTAGAATTTTACTGGCACAGTGCTCTAGAATTTTACTGGCATAGTGCTCCTAACCGATACTCCTATTGTCTTAGGACCTGTTTGATCACGTATCGATTGTTATAGACCAGATTATGCATAAGATTATTCTAATAATTATGATTATGGAATATAATAATTAGTGTTTGGTTTAATGATTATGGTGATTGATTATGATTGGTTAAAGTGAGAAATTCCTATTTTATCCTTTATGGCCAGACAAGTTAAGCAATCAATTGTACTTTTACTATCCATAAATCCTCTCCAACCTAAGGTTTTGATTATAATAATCCGTCATATAACCAATCTTGTTTGGATCAAAATTTGATTATGTAATCTGATTATTATAATCAGAGAGGTATCAACAATTAATACGGTGTGTTGAAGCATTTAAAATTATATTTCAAAATTAAGGAATTTGAAGGACAATATGGCAGTGTCAAAATTATGTGCTATTATATCTCCACTTACCTTTTTTTGTACAAGTTAAACAACACATCTTTTAACCATGTGGAAGACAGCCATGAATACGTAGAAATTCCATAAATTGTAAAATCAAGTTAGAAGTACCCCTTTCGTTTAATTGCTAAAAAAACACTAGAATGCACTTATATTATGTCGGAGTAAGGATTTTTCCTTTTGTTTTCTCTTTCCGGACAGAATTTCTAAACATGTGAAGTACCCCTGACAAACAAGCAGTAGAGTTGAAGCTGAAGCAGGTTTAAGTTGGGGAATAGTTTTTTCTGTTCTCTTAGCTGGCCTTTCAAGCAATTCCTTGACCATGGCAACAACTCCCTTTTAAGCAAGTATATTTACTACTTGTTTATCTTTAGTGATGTACCTACATGTACATTATGCCTAAGTATATATATAGTATGAAGTTTGGAAAGCCAAAAGCAGTTACAAATTGGAGCGGAGGTAGTAGTAAAAAAATTGATTACACGAGTAAGGACAATAAAAAAAGAGTATATTTCCCCTCGTAACGGAGACGTGAGATTCCCCAACAATCATCCAGACAGGTGATCGATGCCAGATTGCCAATCATAAGGCGGGCCCAGTCGGTGCAAACTGATCGGCACATGTATACGCCTGACTGGCATGCTCTTCTTGTCTGTACATTTTTGTACGTGACCGATAATATTAGTAGTAGTATCTTTGAAAAAAAATATTAGTAGTACCTTTCCAAAAAAAACATATTATTAGTATATTAGCATATGTTCGCAGTATGCTTTTTTTTTTTCCTTCTTGCGACGCTGATGGCCAACCTTGCTCACATTTTACAGTATGGCCCTTTTCGCTTGTCTTATAATTTGTATTTTTGGCTTGTCTTTTCAGTCGGTCGAAACAATATTTTTTTCTTACAACAAATCAGTCGGAAACAGTGTTTCAGCTTATTTTTTCAGCGAAGACGAACGGAGCCTATCTGTCAATTGCCGTGTAGTAGAGGATTAGTACAAAGGATCATCGTAAAGCATATGCCGAGCCACATTCGACTTCTAATTTCTGATGAATTCCTCTTCTCTGTTCTCTCTCACTCTATTACTACTCCGTCTCAAGAAACATGTAATCCTAACGTTCAAATCTTATCTCAAAAAACATGTAATTGTAGAGTTAGATATCACATTTTTCAATAGGACCCACCAATAAAAATATCCCTACATGATTAAAAGCTACCATCTATGAGAAGAATATTCTAGAAGACAACCACTTCTAGAATGATAGAAGAGAGGACAAATACGTAATTTTACACCTACACTAATCTTATATCGAAAAGTGACATTTACATCCTTTCTGAGACGGAAGGAGTACCTCCGTCCTGAAAAGAATGCAACTATGAGTTACGTGCCATGAAGAGTAGTTCACGTTTGACCAAGTTTTTAGTGAATAATGTTCATATTTATAGCTTTAAATTAATTTATTATGAAAATACATTTCATAATTAATATGATGGTATTTATTTCGTATTATAAATATGGATATTTTTTTATATATAATTGATCAAATTTAAGGTATTAAAAGATGACACCGTGCTATGTGTTGAATTGCATTCTTTTTGACGGAGTAGCTTGTATTAACCACCGGCACCGTTTCTTGCTTTGTGATTTGTTATTACAGTCGTGAAAAGGGCCCAGCCGCCACAAACAAGCTTCGCCGCTGGGCGCTGGTGGCTCCCGATCCGTCGATCTCACGCGTCGGTGCTGTTGCTGTTTGACGCGACTTTTCGGTACCCAAGTCGTCGTCACCGTCTCATCGAATTTAATTGAACTGATGCGCTAGGCTCCGAACTTGTTTCCATGCATCGCTGATACTCCCTCCGTCTACATCCGTCCCACAAGGAGTATTTATACTCCGTATCTGTTATTATGAGGTTTGTAATACAGTCTACATAAAACAAAATGACTTGGTACTCTTCAAAAGTTCCGGTGATAGGCTACAGTGGTAAACACTGCTGAACAACACCAATACAATGTTATATTTATGGTATAAAATTAATATCATTAAATAGATCGTTGAATCTATTTTCATAATAAATTTATTTAGAGATACAAATATTGTACGTATTTTATATAAATTTAGTTAAATTTATAACATAAAAATAAAAAACGACAGTTATATAGAGACGTAGGGAGTCCAGTTTACGGCGTCCGCAAAACGGAGCTATCCAAATCGATAGGGACGACAGAGGAAAGAAAGTATGGATGTAAAGGACGGAGAGTGTCATTGACCGTGAGTTTTTAGGGTTCGGTGCGGTTTGGTGCGAGCCTGCTGCTTGTAGCGAGTCTAATTTTTGCATTCTCTCTGGTGCACGTGGCTTATCAGTCGTATTTTTTCATTAATCGAATAATATTTTTTTCTCACAACAAATTAGTTAATAGTATTTTTCATGGCTTATCAGCCAAACGAAAAGGGGCAATGAGGGTTTGTTCGGCTTTTTGTCGACGCCGTGATGTGACGACAGCTGCTGCGTCAGGCATGACACAGAAGTACTATGTGCTGGGTCTGCTGGCTGTGTAACAGCACTAAACACCGTAGGGCTCAGATTTTTTTTTGATAAAATTTAAATGCTAGAGGCTGGCTGTGTGCCATTTTTGTCCCAATTTTAACTACTACTACTCGCTCGGTTCCCACAAAATATGAGAATCTCGGTTTTCAAGGCCAATTTAGCACAAGTGTAAAATTACTCCTTTACCCCTCTATCTAGGGTATTCTTTGGAAGTTCATGACAGTGGTGAAACAATACCAACCACACAACAACATTAAAATATCTAGAGTATTCTGACGTGTTTTTTTTATTCGGTGGGGCCTACTTAAAAAGCTGACCACAACTTAGAATTACATATTTTTTAGACAAGATTTGAACGCTACAATTACATGTTTCTTGAGACGGAGGGAGTACGTAGAAAGAAATACTTCTTCAACCAATACCATGGTTCATTAGTTTTTTTAAAGAAAAAACAACAAAAATTCAACATCCCTAAGAGCCGAAAAGTCGAATCCAAATCGGGTCCAGATATACATCTATCCACCTATCATCACGTCATATGATTTGTTAACCCCTTCTAGAAAGGGACTTAAAAAGTTGTGATTGCTCTAAATTGCGTGAGCGTAGAAAACCTTTTTTTAAAGACGAAACTGATTTTTTCTCGAAGACTAAATTGTTTTATCAAGATGAGCCGGCCCGTTTGCCAATTCTCCTCTATAGGGGTCGCTGCCTCGCTACTGTTGCTGAAACTATAGGCCGACCCATTTGCCGTCGGGCGTAGTGGGCCCAGTATACCTTATCCTCATAATAGGGCCAGTCTAAAAAGTAGCAACAGTGATCGGCATGGAGCCACAAACCACCTAGATCTGTTTGGTGGTCTCAGGAACAAAACAAAAATATCCCTTGGTAATTGTAATAAACGGTTCCCTATCGTTTATGTATGTTTGTGCCAAACTCATGCGTGTGTGCTGACCGCATCTGTTTTTTAGCATATTGATTGTTTTTTGGACTGTACACCTTATCTCTCCCTCTCTTTCTATAAAGAGTAATTGTATATCTCGCAGTTGTATTCGGAAATACATTATTGACTCACCATTTTCTGCTCGTCTGAATTGATTAGGTTTCCTATGATACAAACGGCATGTTTGCTGGTTGGTTTCTGGGCTGGTTTGGGCTGGCTGGTGCTGGTTTATTGTGAGAGAAAAACACTGTTGGTTGGCTGGTTTGGGCTGGCTGAAACCAACAAGCGAATAGGCTGAAACTCGGTTATTTAAATTCAAGTCCTCAATTATCTAACATAGTTTTTTTTTGGATTTGTTCTCTGATTTACCATCATTATTTGCTGATTTGGATTTCAATATGAATGTGCTAGCCTGCCTCAGTGTTGTTCTAGGCCTTAGCCTTCGAACACCTGGTTGCCGCTTAAGTAACCCAAAATGTAGAGACAAACGAACGAAAGGAATAGGGAACACCAGAATGACGAATATCAATAATTGCAAGAACTAGGGTTTCATTCCTCCTGTCCTTACACGGCTCTCCTGTAGCTCCATTTATACACATCCGCACCATTTACAATGACAAAAGTGCCCTTCTAACTGCCCAGATTCTAGAGCATATTCCGTACCCCCGGGGCCTCTTTGGTCAATTCCGCCTTTGGTCTCCCCCGGTGGGCTCCTTCCTCGTCAAGTTCCCCTTCCTCGCCCTGCAGTTGACATAAGTGGGGACCACGCCGACGGAGCCGTGCAGCTCCCGTCCTTCCGGCCGCTTTCGCCCCTTCATAACATGGAGACGAAAAGGGCCAACCTGCACAACACATATATATCATCACACGGAAAGTGTCATGATGAGCGAAAGGACGCCCTCGCCACTTTGGCGGGTTACGGGTGTGAAGGTCGAAAAGCCTGACGTCTTAGCCGAGACGAAATGACCTTCGCCTTACCTGCCGATAACCACCGGTCTCCCGAAAGGCAGTCATGCGAAAACACTGACGGCAAGGCGGGGTGGCGAAAAGGCAATGCCTCCCCCAACACTCAGGGTAAGTTGTTCTACCGATTTAGCAAAGGGAACATTTTTTATTTAGGCCTTGTTTAGATGAGTATTAGGAATCAGTATTTGGTACTGTAGCACTTTCGTTTGTATTTGACAATTATTGTCCAATTATGGTCTAACTAGGCTCAAAAGATTCGTCTCGTAATTTATAATCAAACTGTATAATTAGTTATTTTTTATCTACATTTAATACTCCATGCATGTGTCCAAAAATTTGATGTGATGAAGAGAGAGTGAAAAAACTTGCAATCTAAACAAGGCCTTATTTAATTAACGGTGCTATTTGTTGATTTGAATTTCGACATAGCTTCAAGTTGACTTCTACCAATGCATTAAAGGAAGGGCACATTCTTTGATAAAAAAAAGATGCTTTGCTGATTCGGATTTTCACCCCCGAAAAATGCACCAAAAGGCGAAAAAAGGGGAGAAAAAACATCCTAATCCGTGCGCTGAACAGAAGAGTTGAGAGAAAAACATGCATGTCCATCCATCCAAGCATGCGAGCAGCCTGAAACCTCGTGGGCGGGGCGCCACAACACAACACAACATAATCCGTTCTTTCCTCTTTGGCGGAGCACGCGGGTGGCCACGCCGGAAAGCCAGGCGCTGCCACGACGTGTCCCGCCGCGTCCGCGCGCCCTCCCCCGCTCCACTCCAATCGCCCCCGCCCGCCGCCCGCGTGCTCTTCCCTCGCGCCCCGCTCCGCCCCGCCGCTATCTATATCCATTGTCGCTCGTCCCCTCAACAACCATCGGCACACTTGCGTTGCTGTTATCCGCCTGCAGTCCATGGCCACCGCCAGCCTCGCGCTCTCGCTGCGCCTCGCGCCGTCGTCGCGGCCGCTGAGCGTCCGCCGCCGGGGGAACGCCGTCGTCACCTGCCGCGCCACCACCGCCACGTTCCACCAGCTCGACGCCGTCGGTGAGTGCCTGTGCCTCGATCCGAGGCTGTCTGTTCCGCCGAATTGAGATTGGGTATGCTGCAGTTTTGGTTGATTAATGCCGTGGTACGGTCTCGTGTCTCGTGCGTGCGCTCAGCGGTGAGGGAGCAGGAGTCCAAGTTCCGGACGGCGGCGGCGGAGGGCTGCAACCTCCTACCGCTCACGAGGTGCATCTTCTCCGATCACCTCACGCCGGTGCTCGCGTACCGCTGCCTCGTCAAGGAGGACGACCGCGAGGCGCCCAGCTTCCTCTTCGAGTCCGTCGAGCAGGGCTCCGAGGGCACCAATGTGGTGAGTAATAGATTCGCTATCCGTGACACCCGGCCGGCCGGCTCTCGGCCCCTGGTAGTCCAGACATTTCACCGAGCATGTGATTTGCAGGGGAGGTACAGCGTGGTCGGGGCGCAGCCTGCCATGGAGATCGTGGCCAAGGCTAACCATGTGACAGTGATGGACCATGAGATGAAGTCGAGGAGGGAGCACTTCGTGCCTGATCCGATGAAGATCCCCAGGACCATCATGGAGCAGTGGAACCCGCACATTACTGACGGTCTCCCTGATGCATTTTGTGGTACACTTTTTCCCCCTTACTGTTACTCTGGATTTAGAATGAGAATGCTAGCTGTGATTCGTGTTATCTTAAATTGTTGTCATACTGTCACTTGCCATAGATGATACATCTGTGAACTTCCTTTGAGGTAAAAACATCCTCTGTCGCCTCTACTTTCTACAGTAGCACCTTCTATACTTGTCCTGTTCTCCATGCGCATGTTGCTGGTACTCTCTCCGTCTCAAAATGATAAAGAGTGTTTTAATGAGGAAAAATTCTAACAAAATAGATTTTAGCCATTAATTTTTCTTACTGTATGTTGTCATTTGCTAATAAATCAATCTCACATTAGAGGCACTTTGGATATAAGTCTATTGATACAAGTTTCATGTCCTAATCTTGTATGTAATTTGAATAATTTTATTGGTCAAAGTTTGTAATATTTGACTTCTCTTCAATAGCTAGAATGTTGTTTGGTGATATACTAATATTACTTCTCTTCAATAGCTAATGCTCTGTAGGGAAGACATGGGGATAGCTCTTTGTTTTGTATCAATTATGGTCACAACATTTTTATGATATTTTGTAGGAGGATGGGTTGGATTCTTCTCATATGATACAGTACGTTATGTTGAAACAAAGAAGCTTCCTTTTAGTAAGGCACCGCATGACGATAGGAACCTTCCTGACATTCATTTAGGCCTCTATAGTGATGTCATTGTGTTTGATCATGTTGAAAAGGTATGTACCATATACACCATCCCTTTATATGTTTCGGCTGATTAGATAATACTCTAATTTGTAATTTATACATGGTCAACATGCATACTCTAATTTGTACCATATACACCATCCCTTTATATGAAGCTACTCAAGCTATTATAAGAGTGCATGCTTGTAAATCAGATGGCGTTGTGCTCCCTCCGTTCCAAATTATAGTTCACTTAGTTTTGTCCTAAGTCTTCTTCAACTTTGACCAAGTTTTGAGAAAAATATATATTGACATCTGCAACTTTAAATAAAGTGCTATAAAAACATATTTCATAGACAATCAAATGAAACTAATTTAATGTTGTAGATATTGAAGCATTTTTATATGAACTTGGTCAAAGTTTAAAAAGATTGACTTAGGATAAAACCAAAGTGAACTATAATTTGGAATAGATGTATGTAACTTTATACAGGGTTAGTGTACTCAAATTAGAAATGTTGCTTTCTTCCTTATGATGCTACTCAAACTAATATAAGAGTGCATGCGGCATAATAATGCACACTCTTCATCCGAGTGTTTACTAGTATTCTGCTATCATGAAAGGTTGATCTGTTAACATATTTCTCTCTAATAAATTAATAACTTAAAAATTGTTTATATGTTCTCGTATAAATTGTATTTATATGGTATAGCATTGGACATGATTAGAACTAGGAGAATACCCCGCGCGTTGTTGCGGGGATTCCAGATAATTTTAAAAGAAATTAGACTATTTATATTTATAGTTATATGAATGAAACTATTTTACATTGATTTTGGTGAATGGTTTGACACATCGATGTGAAAAGCTAAATGCATGTTAGTGGATGAAAAGATAACTATCATAATTACATATGCTAGTGGGCTATAATTGCAAGTTCTAGTGGATTGTTGATGTGAATAGCTTGCATGTTAAGAGAAATCTCTAGTGGGGTTTAGCTTTATAAGAGTATAGGATTATGTCATCAAATGTTTACCACTCCATTCCTTGTCATGATTTTTTGCACTTTTTATAAATTATCCACAACCACATATGGTGATTGACATTCCGTATGTTATCACTCTCTTAAATATCAAAATTTTCCAACCACTCTACGGTGATTTTTTGGGATAATTTTAACATTATAAATAGGTAAAACTACACCATATAGGAACAATGTATTTTTTTCAAATATATTTATTTTCTCAATTCTACTTTTGTTTAATACCAATAATAACCACATATCTTGCAAATTATGAGAGTAAAGATCTTGTTGCCTACAAGTCTAATCTTTATTTGCTATAGAAAACACATGTTATTCATTGGGTGAGGACGGACTGCTATCATTCTATTGATAAAGCATATGAAGATGGAACGAATCGACTTGAATCTTTGTTATCAAGATTACATTGCCTCAATGTGTGAGTTATAAAACTTAGATAACTCATCGTTTTTCATGAGCTTCGTTTCTTTCACTAGCGTTTATTTTACTAATCAGTTATTAATCCTTCTTGTAGCCCAACGCTTTCTTCTGGTTCTATAAAACTTAGTGTTGGAAACATTGGCTCAGTAATGCAAAATTCAACGATGTCAAAAGAAGAATATAAAAATATTGTTGTCCAAGCTAAAGAACACATCTTGGCTGGTGACATTTTTCAAGTAGTTCTAAGCCAACGTTTTGAGAGACGGACATTCGCCGACCCCTTTGAAATCTATCGTGCATTGCGCATCGTAAATCCTAGTCCATATATGGCCTATCTACAGGTGACTATAATACATGCAAAATATTTTGTTTTTTCATAACATGTTGGCCAACATATACTAATTCATATGCATGTGATTCATCTCTTATGTCATATCTTAGGCACGGGGTTGTATTCTCGTGGCATCAAGTCCTGAAATTCTTACTCGGGTGCAAAAGGTAATAGTGAAATATAGAACATATCTCCAAGTTATACTTTTACCCCTATTTTTTAGAAATTGTTTTATGTCTATAGCGATGATGTAGCATGTGTAAAATAGTAGCATAGTTTATGATATTTTTAAATAGTGAATGAAAACATAATTGAGATGTGATGTGATAAAATTAGGTATGAATTCAAAACTCCCAAAACTGGTTATTTAGCAATGTTATTAGAGTCAATGCAGTTTCAAATTATATTACCTTTTCATATGCTTATGTTATTGCAAATTAATCTCAGTGTTTATTGCACTGTCTTAAATATTATAAAAATGAAATATTATGGTGAAGTGAACATAATGAACTTTCTTTTTTATAATTATATTTTTTAGAGGACAGTAGTCAATCGACCGCTTGCTGGAACCATAAGAAGAGGCAAAACAAAAGCAGAAGACAAAGTTTTAGAACAATTGCTTTTGAGTGATGAAAAGCAGTGTGCTGAACATATTATGCTAGTAGATCTTGGCCGAAATGATGTTGGAAAGGTTCATTTTTCTCATTTCTTGTTCATTTTAATTTTTTGTTAGCATACTTTATTTCCAATTCATTTAGAATAGTGTCGTTGCACCATTTATGTTTCTTCATTATCTTCTAATAAGCAATTGAGAATAATATCCGTGATTTCAAGAAGCTTCTAGATGACAAGATACTAGGGTGGTCATGGCTTTATGTTAATATATAGTCGACTCTAAAACTAAATATTTTTAGCATGGTAAACATATTAAGAAACTGGATAGGGATGCACAATTTTTTAGAGTAGAGATATTTTATGTGAAATGTTCATATGGTTGCCACTTGCCATGAATCTAACTTTTGTGTACAATTATATTTTCAGTTTTATGTTTAAACAAATTGAGCAACTCTCTATAACAACAAAAATAGATAAATTTTCCATTAGGCACATCATTGCTTTTACACTTTTGTTAGTGGCTACTAATGAAATGCATGCAATATCAATGAGAAGGACTTGATTAGGTTACAATTTAGATAAGACAAACTTTTATATGTGTTTGTCGTACTATGGTTTAGAAAAAGTTAGTTTGGTTGTTTATTAGTTATTATAGTTATTACACAGCTATCTTGTTTCATCTACAATGAACTTGTCACGTGTACAGGTGTCCAAACCAGGTTCAGTAAAGGTGGAGAAATTGATGAATATTGAACGATATTCTCATGTCATGCACATCAGCTCTACTGTGAGTCTTCTTTTACGATAATAACAAAATTCAGCAGTATCACAATTTTCATGGATGTATTAGTTAAACAATTATCGTCTTTATCATATAATACAAGCTTACCATTAACTGCTTATTATGATTGTTTCTGTGGTAAGTAGTAGAATATCAATTATATAGTATGAACTTAACATCTTTTTATGTTTTGTATTATCAATAATTATTTTTAAGAAACATGCCTATTTTAAACTTATGTAGGTCACTGGGGAGCTACGTGATGATCTTACGTGTTGGGATGCACTACGAGCTGCATTGCCGGTTGGAACAGTTAGTGGCGCTCCAAAGGTAACTTGTTGAACCTGTAGTAGGCATGCATAACCAAGGAACGAACAAACATGATTGTATCCCTCAATGTTGTTCTGACATTGAACCACTACACATTAGCTGAACCACACACTATTAAAACAAAACTTTACTTTCTAGAGAAAGGAGTCATGGATTTAATGCAACAACTAGAATACCATATGATAGAAGTCGAGAAAAACATAATATCAATATACACAATCTCTAGAAAGAACCATTAAATACACCAAGACTAGCTAAACACGTGCAACTATAAAACATTCAAGAGTTGTTGTTAACGTGATGAAATATAGTATATGCCAACTAGAGATGGCAATCCTTCCCGCGGATATGGGTACAAAATTCCATCCATGGGTGCGAGTCTAGATTCTACTTTGGATACGGGTGCTTGAAATGCAAGGAATTATATCTGTTCTAGTGATAAACCAACTCACACATGTAGATAATCATAGGTATCATACTTAATAGGTGTGCAAAATGTTAGTCGCAGGTATAAAATTTTACCTATTATTAGATAATTTATTGCAAACAGTAATTATTACATTCGCAACTTAGCTGCCACACTGCCATCATTAATGTCAACCTCCCTAATATGACTAAATTGGTGGTAAACTTATTGTAAATTTATGAGTTTTAGTAAACATTAAGAAACTTATAATAATTTAGGATATATCATTAATATTTTTCATTGCATGACCTTTGACCAAGTGGTGTCTTCCCCTCAAATGATGTTGGCAAATATTTCTTGTTTTTCTTTTTTTTCTCTGAAGTTGTCTTGAGTCTGACTTCTCAAGTCATTTTGTGAACCCAAGCAGGTGAGAGCAATGGAGTTGATTGATCAGCTAGAAGTGAATATGCGTGGGCCGTATAGTGGTGGTTTTGGAGGAATTTCATTTTGCGGTGACATGGACATTGCACTCGCTCTTCGCACTATCGTATTCCCCACAACATCTCGGTTTGACACCATGTACTCCTACACAGACAAAAAGTCACGGCAGGAGTGGGTCGCTCACCTCCAGGCCGGAGCTGGCATAGTTGCTGATAGCAAACCAGATGACGAGCACCAAGAGTGCCTAAACAAGGCTGCAGGTGTTGCTCGTGCCATTGACCTTGCCGAATCTACATTTCTAGAAGAGTAGCCTAGTCAAATGAAGCAAATGTATGTTTTCATTCCTGTATAATTATGGATTATGGATTATAATAGAAAACATACATTTCTTAGGTTGAATAAAAACTCAATTATAATAAAGTTAAAAAATATGAAAACAAATGATAATCTTTACCCATCATAACATGTTAATTTACATTAAAAATTGACACTAAGGCGAATAATCAAGAATGACACGACAAAACATCAAGTATTCTAATGTTCATGTTTTGTTCTTAATTATTTGACATTGTAGTATGTGATTTTTCAAGCAATTATTTTTTTTACAAACACAATATAACTTTATTAATTATCTACAAAACAACTAATCGTTTGAGAAACACGTGAGGATTGATGACTCAAACTTCATTGACGACAAAAGTCTATTTAGTTCGCTGCTTTGAGAAACACGTGAGGATTGATGACTCAAACTTCGTTGACGACGAAAGTCTATTTAGTTCGCTGCTCAGTTGGCTTTTACAGCGGTGGATCCAGGAAATATTTTAGGGGGGACTGAACAACACATACTGCTCGATCTTAAGTCTTAGCCCCTCCTACACTGTAAAACTTTGCCTAAAAATTCATGGGGCTCTACAGGGTTTTCCACAGCTCCGGTAAGGGTAGGGGGGCTCGAGCCCCCCCCCCTCGCCCCACCGTTGGATCCGCCCATGGGCTTTTATACATATCACAATCAGCCATGTGCATCGTACTTGTTCTAACCAAAATATCATAATAATTCTCTCATAGTTTCTTATAACCATATTTAAAACATATACCCTATCATTATCACGTAGTAATGTCATACCATTTGTGCATAAAATGTTTTATTGTAAAAGCAGTTTATAATAAGATTGCTATTATTAGATTACAAAAAATGTATTTTCTTATTTCAAATAACATTATAGAAGACTAATGTGAGGTTAAGATTTAGAGGTGGCAATATAAGTTTTATATTAAACTAATACTTCTGAGAAAAGAATGAAAGTTATTCTAAATACTTTCTATCGAATGTGGGAAGAATTGACAAGAAGATGTGTTTACGATCTAAGAACTTCACTTAAGAAGATGTGTCTATAGACTTAAATATTGCTCAACCTAACAAATGTCACATACATTTCATGTAGAAAACAGTTTACATAACCCCCAACGTTTGACAAGTTGTCTATGAAAGGATCAAAATGTCCAAGAGGGAAGGTGAATTGGGCTAATTCTAAAATTATTTGCAATAATTAAACCCTATGGTTAGCCCACTTCACCCCTTGTGCCTAGAAAGTGTTTCTATTATTCTACCGCACAAAAGTTTAGCAACCTATGTTCTAATCCTACTCTAGCATGGCAATTCTAGAATGTAAAGACAAGAATTGAATTGCTCAAAGTAGATGCTTGAAGTAAAGAGAGAAGGAGGAACGTGGTGATGTTTTGCCGAGGTATCGGAGAGTCGCCACTCTCCACTAGTCCTCGTTAGCATCCGCGTAAGGGTGTAGCTCCCCCTTGATCCATGTAAGGATCAAGTGCTCTCTATGGATTGATTCTTCGATACTCCATCGCGGTGAATCACCCACAACCGCTCACAACTTGAGTTGGGTCATCCACAAGTTCCGCCGGATGATCATCAAGCTCCCAATCACCACCAAGCCATCTAGGTGATGGCGATCACTAAGAGTAACAAGCACGAACTCTCACTTGACCACGACAAGCCTAATGAGAAGGGTGGATGCACACTTTGCTACTCTTGCTTTCACTAATGAGGTCTCTCTTTTGGTTTCTCAAATCTCAATCACCTCACTAGGACCTTGCTCTTCTTGGCACTCTCAAGGGTGTTTCTCAGCTATTAGAATGAGCAAAAGTACCCCCTCACATGAATGGAGGAAGTATTTATACACCCCATTGAAAATGAACCGTTATGTGCCTATGCGGGGTGACCGGACGCTCCAGTCAGTTCTCCCCGAAACCGAGCAGTTAAGTGGTGACCGGACGCTGGCACCCAGCGTCCGGTCGCACCAGACGACATCACCTTGATCAAATGAACTGACCGGACTCTGCGCCAGCGTTCGGTCACACCGAAACCAGCGTTCGGTCAATATTTGACCCTCCATTCACTTCCAACTCGCAATCATATGTGAATGAAGTTTGCTCCAATTGATCTTAGGGCTACTTAAGAGCTACATAGTGCTAGATTTGACAAGTGTGCACCACACCTAACTCACTAGACTCACCTAGGTTAAGCTACCCGTCCATACCCCCCTTAATAGTACGGCCAAAGGAAAAACAAAGTCCTAAACTACTCTAAGTGTCTCTTCAATACCAAACGACACTTAGAACTAGTCCATCCTTAACCTTGTCGTCCATCCTTTGAAAACCAAAATGATTTCCATTATAGGGGCATGACAACTATGATTGCCCAATCAATTGCCATTACCATGACCTAACTTAATTGCATCTACAAAACACACGTTAGTTACAGTAATCTCGTATTGTCATTAATCACTGAAAACCAACTAGGGGCCTAGATGCTTTCAATCTCCCCCTTTTTGGTGATTGATGATAATACCACCTCGAGTATGTAAAAGAGTTGAGGTTTTTAACATGCTTGGTTCATATAAGCTTTTGGCAATAAAACAAAAGAGTTAGGCAAGCTTATATGACCCAAGCCAACATGATGCACTCAATAGATATGAAATAAGCATGAATACAAGTAATAAAGCTCATTTGTATCGAAGTAAAACGTGGAAGCAAAACAAATGAGCATAACCAAGTGATATGACATATAAATAATTCAAAGTAGAGAGCACACATGTCACATATCACATAAATATCACTATCACATAGATATCATGATCACATAGATATAGTTCAATGCATGAAACTAAACATGAATGCATAATAAGTATCACACATAAAAATCCAAATGTAATAGATAATAGCTCCTCCTAGATGTATCGCTCCCCCTAAGTCTACCATACTCGATCCCTCTCCCCTTTGGCGTCAAACACCAAAACCTAAGGGTCGGTCGGCGGGGCTGCAGCGGACGAGTCGAGCGCTGAGGTGCGATGAGTGATCTAGAATTGTGTGCCACCATCATCTGATCCTGAGCTCTAAGCAGTCTGACCCTCTATCGCTGGAAGTGATGCTGAAGCGGTCTGGGTTGGATCTAGAACTGGTGCTGCCTGCTCTGATGATGCAACTGAAGATGGGAGCGTCTCTGTAGTCCTAGTAATTAGAGCAACTATGGAAGGATCATGGACATGTAGCTCTGGTGGTGTAGGCTGTCTTGTCAACTCACTGAATGAAGCACCAAGGCTCCTAGAGATTAGGGTGAGCACTGACAAACTCTGAGGCAGAGTGAAGCCCGTATGAAGAGGTGTGAACTATGGGGCTACCACTGGCGACGCAAACCACTGGGACACCTGCTCTATAGGTGAAGGAAACTGAGGCGCTGGCTGTCCCTGACTCTGAAGCCCACTGGGCTAGAAAGTTGGCGTCATAGAAGTGGCAGGCTGACCAAACTGGGGTGAAGGCTGTGGCTGTGAAGCTCCAATAGCAGAGACAACATGCTGCATGAATCCAAGTAACTGTTGCTGCATGAGGAGCTGCTGCTGATATATAGCCTACTCCTGATGCTGGAACTTATCCTGTCCGGCCTGAAACTGTGCAAAGGTGGCAACGGTCTCCTGAGCCTAGTGAGCCTGATCCTACCTCATCCACTCAAGTATAGCAAGGAGAGCGGGGTCTGTCTATGGTGCACATGGAGCTAAACTGGAGCTATCAGCCTCATGGTCATATCGGCGAGGAGGCATCTGAGGTATATCCTGGTAGTCATCATCTGAGCTATTGCTGGGGTCGCTCTCGACCATGCCCTCCTGCTGAGCATCTAGCTTCTCCTCCTCTATAGCTGCAATGCCCCTGATAGTCTCATCCTGCTAGGCTGCAGTCTCTGGCACCTCTAGGCGACGGCATGGCTGGCTGGGTGTCCTCACTGCACTATGACGGAGCATCTGAGTCATGTTATATGTAGGGAACTCTATAGTAGCACCACTATACTCTGCCAGCATCTCTGGAGGCCTCACTGTAACTGTCCTGTGAATCAAGAATGTAATCCAGTGAGCATAGGGCAACTGTCAGTGACCTCTGAACCCCTCTGCAATAGTATCCTCCATCTATGATAGTATGAGATCCTAGATATCAAACACGGTCTGCTGCATCAGAGAGTTCAGAAGCCATAACTGAATACGAGTTAAGCCCTCGTGATATCCCATCATCGGTAGCAGGGTCCTCCTCATGATAGCATCAAGCACTCTAGCTGTGGGAGTGAGGTCACTGGATGTCCTGCTCGACCCCTCGCCGAATGGCTCTGTGAAGCAATGGCGAACTAGATCTATAGGAGGCACCATACCACCATGAGGGAGTATAGGAGGCACTGTCTGACCATAGCAAACCTCATGTAGCCGAACGGGTTGCTCCTGAAGCCTAAGTATCTCCCTGACCCTGAAGCTCATCAGCATGTAATCTCTGCCTCTGAATGCAAAGTGTATAAATCTATGTTGTGGGTCAATCCAAAGTGTAGCATAGAATTCATGGACCCAAGATGGAACATGTCTGCCTGTCCATCCGAGTAAGTCTGTCAGCCCTGACAAGTAAGATAGGTAAGGGCGAATATGCTCTTCAGCTGCTGCTACAATGGCCTCAATAGAACAAACCCTCTGAGACCTGAATGCTGTCTCACTGTTAAGATATGCATTATAAAAATCTTCCTACAATGGTGTGTAGAAGCCCTCTGATACACGCTCATCCCTCCTAGGCAGAAACTACTCAAACTAAACAAATCTGAGCTGCTACACCTGCTTGGTCGTGGCGGCCCTCGGATCCAGATGAGTCACTGGAGGTGGACCATGTGGTCTAGGAGGCGGATGAGAACCCCTCCTCCGTGTCTCTAGCCTCGGCGTCACCTGGGTGCGAGTATAACCAGAGCGGTGTAACTATGGCTGAGGTGCC